CTCGTTTGGGGCCCCCCCCCGGGGTGTGTTTCGGGGTACCTGCCCCCCATGAGATCTGTTTCGGGGTACCCCCCTCGGGGTGTGTTCGGGGTACCCCCCCGCGGTGTGTTTGGGGTACCCCCCGGGGTGGGTCTGGGGTACCTGCCCCGCGGGGGGGGCCGTCCCCCCGCGCCCAGCGCGCGGCCTGCGCCGCCAGGTGTCGCAGGTAGGGCTCCTGCACGCAGAGCAGCACGTTCTCGGGCTTGATGTCCGTGTGGATGATCTTGCACTTGGTGTGCAGGTAGTCCAGCCCCTCCAGCACCTGCACGGGCACCCCGACATCGGGGGGCACCCCGAAATCAGGGGCAACACAAATGTGGGGGGCATCCCAACATCGGGGGAGCACCCCGAAATCGGGGGGCAACAGAAATATGGGGGGCATCCCAACATCGGGGGAGCACCCTGAAATCGGGGGGCAACAGAAATCTGGGGGGGCATCCCAGTCAGGGATGGACAGCCCAAATTGGGGAGGAACCCCAAAATTGGGGGAGAACCCCAAATCTGGGGAGGCATCCCAACTGGGGAGGGACGGCCCAAATTGGAGGGGGAGCCCCAAAATCGGGGGGCAACCCCAAAATCGGGGGTGCATCCCAATTGGGGAGGGACAGCCCAAAGCTGTGAGGAGCACACAAAATCAGGGAGGGGCATCCCAAATTGGGGGAGGAACCCCAAATCGGGGGGGGCGCCCCAAAGCTGTGAGAAGCACACAAATCGGGGAGGGGCACCCCAAAGGAGGGAGGGGCACCCCAAAATTGGGGAGCTGGGGGTTTTGGGCAGCACATTTGGGGTCCCACGGAGGGATTTGGGGTCTCTGTGCACATTGGGGGACTCAGGGAGGGATTTGGGGTCTCTCTGCAGCCCATTGGGGTCCCAGGGAAGGATTTGGGGTCTCTGTGCAGCCCACCCGCCTTTCCCATCCCCCACACAGCAAAAATCCCACGGTGGGAGGGGGGAGGGGAAGAAAGAGGAGACCCTACCAAAAAACCAGCAGCCCCTCCCCCACCGTTCCCCCAGTCCCTGTCATTTTGAGGAGGGGTCTTCTCCTGAAATATCTCCATCTTCATCATCATCATCATCACCATCGTCTTCTCCCCTCCCCCGAAAAGCAGCCGAGGTTCATCCGCGGCGTCCAGCGCTGTGTGCCCCTCCCCCATTTCTGCCGAGGGGGGGTCTCTGTGCCGCCCCCACACTCCCCCCCCTCCGCTGTTTTT